GCACATGCTCATGAACAAACAAAGTAATGGAGCCTGCCATCATCTTACAACAGATGCCCTCTAATTTCCTTCTCCTGTTTTTTTACGATACCAAAACCAGTACCCTAAAAGTGATACCGATACCAATAGAGTACTTCATTTGATTCCTTTGCATAAAATGCCACTTGTTGAAGCCATAGAAGCTGATTCGTAGGCTATTATAATTTTTAATGTTGTTATGGACAAGCAAGGTTTTCTAATTAATTTTTTTCTTGTTTCAAATAACTGTTACATAAAAGTATTAGGAAATTGTATCAGATTGCTGCTCATCCTCATTAGTTCATCCTCACGGTTAGTATTAGTCTATATGGGGAAAGACTACAGCTTGCAAATGTTTTTATATTTGAATGAGAGGGGAGAAGTGAAATAATTTAGTGACCAAATAAGTTGTGGGAAACGAGTTTAACGTAATGTTTTGATAGGTGTGTGGAAAGTAAACAAGGAAAATTATTTTGTTAACTTTCGATCACTAAACTGAATTGAAAGATCTCCGCAGGTGCCTTTTCCTTTATTGGTGAATTGCAAACCTCATCCAAACAGTCACAAGTATAAAACGAGTAAGGAGTCTGTTTAAACGAGTTACTAAAGAGTCTAAAGAACCAAACAGAGGAAAAGAGAGGCTGCAGTCTCCATTAGTAAAATCAGCTGATCTCTGCTGCGCCACAAAAGCGTTTAATTGGTGTGATGGGACGCAGCGATCAATCAGTGACAAGTGATGTGAATAGCAAATAAAAATGTACAGAGACTTGTTAAATGATACCAGAAGATGAAACCAACAGAAATGTGAGTATGGAATTTTCAGTAGGCTATATTAAGAAGAGCAAATAGAAGTTAGATTTTAAAATTGTTTGATTTCTTCCATGTGCATTTTTCCAAACCATTGTAAGGCACTGTTTTAGGAAAAAATCCTGCAGCAGCATCTGTTGTTTATTTGCCTCAAAAGTCTTTGCGTAAGTATCACATGGTGCACACAAAAAAAGATTTCTCCATTAATGTTTAATATGAAAAACTCCTGTGGCCAAAACATTAACTTTTAACAATAATCCTCTGTCTTTTAGTTGATGACAGTGTATTAATCCAATTTATTTACAATAGAAACCGATAGATTTATTTTTGAAACTGTTTAAGTTACCTGTCAAAGACTCTAGAAGTCATTAAGCAGTCACCCACTCACCTTCTGCAACATGGAACAGCAGCATGGTTAAACACATGAGAGACAGTCCATAGTGAACGGAGAAAGGCATCCTGGGTCCCAATATGACAATGTGTCTCTGTACAGTGGAGATCTGGTAATTTGGAGCCTTCTTCTGGACACTCACCGCCTCAGTGCTTTGCAAGAAGAAAGTACCCTGGTATAAATGAGGTCAAAATGAGGGAACACACATGCCCACATTCCAAAGAAAGAGGAACACTGTGGTACTCATTGGGTTTATCAATAACCAGCACGGCAATGTCAGGTTCTAGGAACCTCAAACTGTTCACTTGCTCCAACTCAATTCTACTGACATGGGTGAGTGTCTCTTCCTGTTTCCTTAAATCAAAGGTCCGCTTCTTGGTTTTGCTGATGTTGAGTAGTAGGTTGTTCTCTGTGATCCCCCTGCAAGATTGTTCATTTCCACCACCTATGAAATCCAGCCGATGATGGTGGCGTTGTCCACAAACTTCACAAGGGAGTTGTTTGTGATTTGACTCATCGTTGGAATTTTCAGTCTGAAATTACAAGTTATGTTATTTCAGCTGGTTAGCTTAGCCTAGCAAAAAGACTATAAAACAAGAAGAAACAGCTAGCCTGGCTCTTTCCATCTCTTCATAATATCTCAACTAACTCCAAAAAAACACACATTGTTTTCATTCTGTTTTTGTATAAATGTTCCAGCTTTGGAGAGAGACAGCTAGGCTCCCTGTTTCTGACTTGTTTCCAGTTTTAATTTGCATCTCTCCCTCTCTCTCATTAAGCTAGGGAGGAGGGAATTAAACATTTTAGTTAAGTTAGTAGAACAATTAAACAGAAATTGGTGCCAGTATAAAGATTTCTACTTAGAGGGTCATGGTAATTCATCTTCATCTCGACTGTTTAAGGCCTCCCACAGGATTTTGCAGAAACTGTTAAATTCATCTTAGACAGTTTGCATATTAAAGGAATTTAAATGCGCTCCATTTAACATCATCATCACTATTGTTCCTGGACCGAGTTAAATAAAGAAAGAAATGCACAAAAATCATCACAAACAAGATTTCCTTGATATGTAATGTAAGAGTGTGTTCTCTAGACTTACTGTACACTCATTAAGTTCTGGAGACTTTGACGGCACTCGGGTACACACAAAACTGTTTGTTACTCACAGTCCACAAAATGTCTGGTTGAAAAAAGACATTTTTTTTTTCATATTTAATCTATACAACCTAAGCCACGAAAACAGCAACACTAGCATTAAAAAAATGGTATCTTATTTGCTTTCCTGCCGAGTTACAGAAGAACACTGATACACCACTCTCATGTCTGTGCATTAAGTGGGGAGCTAGAGCCGGGACGTTCATTAGTCCAGCCACCAGCTCCTTTTAAGCTCATTAATTAACACATTGTGTTGTTATTCATATTCATTTAAAATGTACATAAACAGAAATAGAAACAACAATTTGTGATTTTAAGGAAATTTAGGAGCGTTTCTTGAAGAGCAGCACAGTGACAAAAAGACTTTGGGACGTCAATACTCTGGTGTTGTTCATCAAGAAATTGTGACTATATCAGACACACAGAAACTCTCCTACTTACTGCCATATCATTGTGGCTAAATGTATTTCCTCATGCAGAGAGAGAGAGAGACTCTGCTCCCAGTGTGACACTAAGACAAAAACACTTCGCAAACATTTCCCAAATATACCCCAAATTCGAATTCATATCAGACACACAGAAACTCCTCTATTTACTGGGAGAAATGCCCAAATGTGAAATAATTGCTGCAAAATATGTCTCCTCATGCCATGAAGTGAGGACAACCAGTGGAACCTCAGACTGATAAATAATTGTACAGATTTTCAAATTATTATTATTTTGATTGTTTGATATTTTAGTAATTGTTTTGTTTTTACATTTGATACAGATTTATTTTATAAATGTTTTTAAATCAATTATTTTTTAAATTTATTTAGTCTATTAATATATACACACACACGTTACTGTTTCATTAATTTATTTTATTTTTAATATATTTTTATTTTTTTAACATACACACATGCTTACTGTTTTATTTATTTATTTTATTTTAATTTTTAATATATATTTTTTTAACACAAACACACACACACACACACACACACACACACACACACACTTAGTGTTTTATTTATTTATTTTATTTAACACAAACATACCGTGGCTGCCAGGGCTCAGTGAGGAATATTTTTTTGAGGACTATGAATTTTTTTTTGAGGACTACTTTGCATTCCCTCGTAATACTTTTGCGTTCCCTCGAAATAATTTTACGTTACCTCGCAATATGTTTTGCGTTCCCTTGCAATACCTTGCCGGAGCAGCATGAACATTTAGCCAATAGGCTAGTGAGTGGACAGTATTGCATAATGTGAGTTGCAAGGTCTTGATCCACATACCGAATAATAACAAAATGCTGTTTCTTGCGGTCCAATGTGCTAAAAACAAAGTCACAATAGCCTATTCAACTTACAAGACACAAAACAAAAAATAGACATGCTGGCCAGCCAAAAGAAAGAATGGCATTTATTGTTTAATGCAGCGGTCATTAAACCAAAGTTACTTTGAATCATTTGTGATTTTTAATGCATCTTCAGTAGGTTATTTTATGAGCTTTTCACTATTAGTCAGGCCCACACAAATAAGAGGGTAATTTACAGTATGACACTAGACGAGACAGCTGATCTGTACACTGTCAGGGGAGTGAGAATGGTGTGCAGGGCTGGAGCATTATGAAGTGTGTAGCCTAATAGTGCAACCCCAAATCTGAAGTATGTTCACCTGTATAGCCTATTTCTAACCTATTTAAATAATAGCAGCATCAGAGGTAGGCTACTTAACATTAGCGGAGCCCTGATGGCTACAAGCTTCTGAAATATAAGCCAGTAGCGGGAGCAGCCTAATAACAGTCGGCTATGTAAACAGTGTGGAAGTACCGTAGCAGCATGAACATTTAACCTATAGGCTAGTGAGTGGACAGGATTGCATAATGTGAGATATGTAGCCTCCATATGAAGTCTGACATGTAGGAAACAGTGTCCATCCACTTTGACTGTTTAAGCACCAAGCATCACCGATGTAAACAGCATGGCTCTATCTCGGCTGTCTTCCCTCTCCTCTGGAGCGATCACCCACCGTGGTGCCTGGTCCTTTTTGATTAAAGCCTACATAAATATGCCTATTGAGCAGTAGCAGGCTACTATATAAACATAGGAAATTCTCCGTTCAAAGTAAAATTCAATAAGCTGGAGTGTTGCTCTGACAGCAGCTGAGCATATGGCTCGGAAGTAGGCTAACGGAAGAAGACAGGTATTGCGAGGGAACGCAAAACATATTGCGAGGGAATGCAAAAGCATTACACGCACATACACGTCCGTGCGTGGCGGTGGCGTCCCTCACTGATCCTTCAGAAATGCTTCGGGAAATGTAGCGTGTGTGGAAGTTACCGCGCTAAAAGAGCTTCGTTACTGAAAAGCTATTTGATTCAGAAAATAGCGACGCTGCCACAAAGCTACTGAGAAATGTAGTTAAACTAGCTACTGCCCAACACTGCTCCCCGTGAAACCTTTTACATTTCACTTTGGAACAAAAGAAATTAGATATAACAAGAGCTTTAGAGGTTTTTCTTGAACTTGACCTGCAGAGAGAAACTGTTCTCTGTGCTAAGCTAATCAGTGCCTGTCTCCAGCTCTAGAATTAATGTTGAACTTGATTATTGGTGAAATGTATTTGATTCACTGACAGACAAAAATGCGTTTTACAGTTCAAACCATGAACTTTATTGTCAAGCCATCAGTAGAACCACACACAACCAGCTATACAACATAAGATTTCAGGGACAAATTTAATTTGAATTAGTCTGTTCCCTTCTTAAACTAAAACCACCAATGTCTGGATCAGAAGATGAGTGTGACACAAACAAACTGAAAGTCCTGATGCAGCAATAATTCATACAATAACCTTCTGACCGTCATTTTCAGACTTCTACTGAAGCAGACACATACTGTTAACTGGCATTTAAGTTATTGTGAAACACCCCTATAGCTGCCTTTATAATTGTGGTTTACTGTAAGAAGTGATTACAGAGCATCAGTCACAAATTCAGAGGAAGGTTACAGAAAGATTGGTTTAGAAACACAGTACAGATTAAAACCTAAATTATGACCTGTATGACCATTTAAAATCTTTAACTCATTAATAATCACTCATTACACTGGAGAGCACTAAAACAGGATTTCAGAGAACATTGATTGCCATATTCTACTGTAGGATTATTTTAAAGTCAGTCAACATACTGGTGCTGTGATGAGAAGACGGACACGACGAGAATTAATTGTGTGATCCCTGCAGATGATTTGTCCGTGCTAACACGACATCAATGTATGATGGCAGGTGACACATTCAAGCGTGTTTCCATTTACCTGTTTTTATGCACATTTTCAAATTTACACATAATAAAACACAAGTAACACAGATTTTGAGCAGTCAAAGTATGTATATGCGTTTACATTTGGCTGAGGTTTACTGATAAAAACAAAACTTGACAAAAGTGCAATGTACACAATGCAGAATTAGAATGAGACTTAAAACATCCACCAAAATATTGGCAGATGAAAACATCAGATCGTCTGGCCTAATAAGAGTCTATAAACTAAACAAGCTAATACACCAAACAAACATAAAAAATATATTTTCCATTATGTTTTCTACACTGTGTTCCTGTTTGAGATTTAACAGCCGCTCTTTTAACTGCGTCAGCTTCTTTCCCCCTCTTCTCCTTAAGGGAACCTGATTGGAGAGTTAGCGCCAACAGCTGTCTTTCTTGATGAACCAACTCCCTCATATTTGCAACATTCACATTCAATTTGTTAAATTTTCTGTGTTGTTTTTTGTGTTTTGTTTATTTCAAAAAACTCAACTAAGCTTGTAAGAAAGATAGGCCAATTAATTCGGTTTTAGGTTTCCAGTTTTCAAAAGTCATAGGCTCATTATCAATCAAGAAATAACCTCCACTCCTTATCGAAAGTGGGTGTAAGAAGCTTCACAACTGCATTGTGCAGTACGGTAGGAAAGGTTGTGAAACTATTCGTCCACTACACAGTAATGTCTCCCACAAGCCATCACTTTTACTTTCTATTACAACAAATACAACAGTTCTAGCTGGTTATAAAGAGTCAGTTAATGATTTTAAATCACTTTCCACCACAAAACTGACAGTCACACAGTATTTAGTATTTTAACTTATCATTTAGCTTTAGAGCTGCTTTGGCTCATTGGCTCAGTTTTATCATAATGCTCTTGTCTAATCATTTAATATCGTGCATGCTTTAATGTTAGCATAAAACATAATAATTTACTCAGGGATACAGTAATGATTTTGGTGTCCCGTGTTCTCATCACGCAAGTACTGACCACAAAAATGTGTGTTTCTTTCACGTTTGTTTGCTCACACTGAGGATCAAAAGGACACGGCAGAGGAGCAGACCCACAGGGGAGGAGGAGGAGGAGGAGGAGGAGGGGCTTCCTTATCACTAGCGGGAGGAGTTGGAACTAGAGCGCGACCGATGACGGCGGCGGCCGGGCGATCGAGACCTGCGACGTACTGGAGAGCGTCGCCGTGGAGAGCGAGACCTTGGAGAGAAAGAAAAAAAGGCAGGAAAGGCGTGACAATGAAAAACAGAAAATGATCTAAACCTCTTGTGCATTTTACATATTACATACTGTATATTATAAAGTCATAACAGCCAACAGTAAAACTTTAGTCCAATACAAAGTAGCATTTGAGGGATAAACTGCATTATTTGTTTCCCAAACTTCCAGCAGGGGGACTCATCACATGCTCCTTACCTTCTCCTCATTCGAGGGGGAGTGCGTCGCCACATCGGTGGTGGAGGAGGCATCCTGCGGGGAGGGGACAGCCGGCGGGGGGGAGGGCGCACTGTGGGAGTCAGCACAGCTGTGACTGTGATCTCCTGACCGTCGATCTGACCTGGAAGGGGGGAAAAAAAGGCCTAGAAATCAAGAAGATTGAAGTTTTGTACTGATTTGGTATTTTAATGATTGAAAAAGAACAGTCTGCCAGCCGCTAATCTCCTCTGCATTATACAATCATTCCTCCATCTTACTTAACTGCTCTGATGTGAGATCTGTTCACTTTAAATCTTCCACGACCATGTTCCTCCTCATCCACTCACCTCCGTCCATGTGTTTCAGGGCCTTCTCTGCCTCCTCAGGTGTCTCAAACTCCACGTAGGCGTAGCCTTTGGACAGGTGAGGGTGGACACGGTTCATGGGCATGTCAATCATCTTGATCTTGCCATAGGTGGAGAAGATCTCCTGGATGTGTTCCTTCAAAAGGCACCACCGGGAACACTTTGAAATTAGCCTCATTTTAAGTGGAACATTTTTTAGCACCTAATACGATGGGGATTTATACCATATGAGAACAGCTTCAGGTAGATTTCAATTGTGAAGGCAAACATAATATAACAAAACAAAACGTAATAAAAAAAAATGTTTCCACACACCTATATGGATGGTCGATGTGACCCCCAAAAAACATTTAGTCAATCAAGCAAGCTGTGTAAACCACTATTTTAATGCAGCCCAAACCAGCAGCTGCATCTCTAAGAGTAATCAGGCTCATAGAGACGTGCCATGAGGTAAAGCATTCACCTTGATAACATTTCTGGTCAGTCGGCCCAGGTAGACCTTGGTGGGTTTGGGTGTGGGGCTCCTACGTCGTCGGTCCCGGTCATCCTTCTTTGCTGATTTTGACCTGGAGTGACATTTAAATTTTAGTCATGTCTGAGCAGACTAGTGTTCCCTGAGTGCAGCGGGAGAGATTCAGACATTCCTCAGTTATAGATAAAAAAACCTCACTACTTGCTCAATAAAAATAATAAATAAATGTGCTGACTAATTCCGTACTTTGAGCGCGAGCGTCGTCTGTTGTTGTGGCGCTGGCGGCTGGGGCTCGGTGACGAGGAGGAGGAGGAGGAGGAAGAGGAGCGGGAGCTGGATGAGCCAGAGTGGCTGGAGGCAGAGGAGCTGGAGCCACTGGAGGAGCCGGAGCTGGAACCAGAGCTGCTGCTGGAGCTGGAGCTGGACCTAAACAAGGGCACATTGGAGGACGGGAAGAAGTGGCTGAACCGGTTTGCAGCGTGAACGTGGAATTGTTTATTGTCCACTGTCCAAAGTAAACTAGCAGGATCAACACTCCTGTGACCTTGTGTCAGAGCAGCTGGATATTGACAAACAGAGAACCAGTGTTGAAATTAAACCACCTTTTGCATAACTTTTCCTTTTTATCTAATGAAAATGAACCAATATGGAAAAATGGGACAGGGGACAAGCAAATTGGAACCTGACATCAGCTAGTGTTACTTTCTAAGAGCGGCCTCTGACCTGCTGCTCCCACTGGAGGCATTGCGTCGGGTGCGGTTTTTGTCTCTGCCCCGGCCTTTGTCAGCTCCTTCTTTCGTTGCTCCTGACTTCTCCTTACCGCGCTGTTTACTCTTGTCATCCTCCTTCCTCTTTGTTGGGGAAGGCGCCCTGTTGGAGGAGGAGAAAGCATTTAAAGGTCAGGATTTAAGGTACAGGATAACCCTTAGCAGCAGACATGATATCTGACACATTCACACCTAGCACAAATAGATGTGCACGTATAATACATGCTGTTTGCAAACAGTCACATCAAAACTTCCAAATGGACTGCTGACAAGGTAAACTTACAAGTTGCTATCTAAGATTTAAATACACAGGTAACGTTATAATGTAAAATATCTGTAACGTTACTATTGAAAAACTGAACAAGAACAAGATGTCAGATTGTTTACATTTCCTAAATATATATATCCAAAACGTTCTTCAAGTTGTTCCTCTAAACACAGATGCTGTGGAAACAATCGATCCACTCGGAGAGGAAGACGTTTAACGTTTAATAGTAAACGTTAGCTCACCAAACACTTGCCCGTGTTAGCATTAGCCAGTGAGCTAACAGTGGCTTATTATGTCATGCTGATATTCAAACGCGCGCGTTTAAATCCAAAATACTGTACTTATTACGACGTTATTGCGTTGTTTCTAACTGGTCATACATAAACATTTTTCAGGTAAGAAACGCTATAGAGCGTTTACTCACATCTTTCCAACACCCGAGAGTAACAGTCGCACAGAGATGACGTCGTGTTTCAGCTCGCTGTAAACCAATCATTTGCCTGTGCGTCCGCAGGTGGAGGCATGCGGTAGTGATGGACATCTTCTTCCCTCAATCAGGATTGCCAGGGAAATTTTTTCTATTTCGGCTAGTTAGGTAATACTTGTGTGTCAAGCTCAGAAGCTGTGGCAGTAGATGAACGCAGAAACACTGTAGCAGTGTGATATTATATTACCGTTTAAACGTTTCCATTGCCTTAGGACGACCGTGTGACGCAGTTTTGTCGCGGCTGGGTCAATTAAGAAAAACCCATGCAGCTGCTTGGCAGGCACTTGCCTGACAGGTTGAACTGAGGAAATAACAAACACACTAATGAAGCCGGTTTTGCCAGCTGCCCTTCCTTTCAAAGCAATAACAGCTTGCTTACAGAAGACCAAAGACACACAAGTCATATTTTAGTAAACAACAAAGTTATCTTTTAAGCTAAAGCTAAGAAGAGCTAACCCAGGTACCTGTAAGGAATTGAGTGCTGTAGGACACACGTTAGCTTTTCTGGGACAGCCGGACTTCAAATGAAGTCCACAGGCGATACTGAACCAGACGAAAGCTGCAAACCCTCAGGCAGTGACAGGACCCTTGCTTTGACTGTATGCTCTGCTGCCATTGGAGGCACCTTCCAATATGGCTACAACATCTCAATCATCAACGCTCCCACCAGCTACATCCAGGGCTTCATTAATGATACCTACATGGAGCGCTGGGGGATCGGCTTGGAGACTACTCAGGTGACCCTAGTGTGGACTCTTATCGTGTCGGCCTTCTCAATGGGGGGTTTGCTAGGAGCCCTGCTGGCAGGTCCTCTAGCAGTCCGCTTTGGTAGGAAGAACTCGCTGCTTCTGAACAATTCCTTCCTGTTTGCTGGCACCGTGCTTGTGTTAATGTGCAGGTTGGCAAAATCATTTGAGATGATTATCTTTGCTCGTGTTCTGGTGGGGATGAATGCAGGGGTCAGCATGAACGTCCAGCCTATGTACTTTGGGGAAAGCGCCCCCAAACATCTCCGAGGTGCTGTGGCTTTTTCCTCTGCTGTTTTCACTGCATTTGGAATCTTCTTGGGTCAAGTTGTGGGACTCACTGGGCTGCTGGGCACAGAGCCACTTTGGCCCTACTTACTAGCTAGTAACGCTTTGCCGGGGTTGATCCAGCTACTTACCCTACCCTGGTTCCCCGAAAGCCCCAGATACCTCCTCATTGACCGCGGAGACAGGGAAGCATGTGTCCGGGCACTTGGAAGGCTTCGTGGTGGGGAGGCTCCCGTCTTGGAGATGGAGGAGATGCTTCAGGAGCAGCAGCAGCAGCAAATATCCACGGCCTTAAAATCTGGATCTGCAGCTTCTGTCAAGACACCCTGTTCCTTGTTTAAGGATCCCAACCTGCGATCCCAGCTCAGGACGGTCATGTTTGCCAGTAGTGCCATGATGCTTTGCGGCAATGACTCCATCTACTTCTACGCGTCCTACATCTTTCTCAAAGCAGGAATCCCTCCAGAAAATATACAGTACGCCACCATCGGCACAGGGGCATCTGAGCTAACTGCTTCTATACTGAGTAATCTACTGATTGAACGTGTGGGCCGCAGGTACCTTCTTCTGGGAGGGTACGGTCTCATGTCTTGTTGGAGTGTAGTCTTCACAGTAGCCCTCACCCTTCAGAGCCGCGGGGTGGCTGGGATGCCTTACCTCAGCATGGCATGTGTGTTCCTCTACATCCTCAGCTTCGGCTTGGGCCCAGCTGGGGTGACAGGAATCTTACCAGCTGAGATCTTTGACCAGGCGGCTCGGCCGGCAGCGTACATGGTCGCCGGCTCGCTTATGTGGATCAGCCTGTTCTTGGTGGGAATGCTGTTCCCCTTCATCGTCAGCAGCCTGGGGAACTTCTGCTTCCTGCCATTCTTGGCCGTGTGTTTGGTGTCCACTGTGTTTTTGGGGCTCACCTTACCGGAGACTAAGGGCAAGACACTGACTGAGATTACTGCAGAGTTTGATAGAAAGAATGGAGTGAAGAAGAAGAGGCCAGACATGCAGGTGGGTGAACCTGTGAAGGAGCACTACCAGCTGGGTAAAGCCTGCTCCTTCACAAACCTAACGCAAGATCTTGACCCCGACCATAAGAATGAGGAATGAAATTGGACGACCTCCAGTAAAAGTGAAACAGGCAGTGCCTTTGTAGCCTCTTTATGCACTTTCAGTGTTGAATAGATTACTCCATAGGTGAAATCTAAAGTGTCCTATTTATGAAAGATGATCTCTTTGTAATGACTGATAATTCTATTCCGTTCTGATTTCGTGAACTAAGCCATTTAAGGTTTTGTATCCGTCAACCAGGAATGGAAAGTATTAGCAGTGTTGCACTCAACTAAGTACTCAAAGAAGAGAGAGTTAACTTCTATTTAAAAGAAAACAGCATGTTTTTAAAGTCTAATCTGTTGAATTACCTATGTTATGGTCACCACTGACAAAGTTATTATCTTTTGTCTACAAGAAGGCTCTCGTAGCATAAATGTAAGCTTTTAAAAGAGCAGCATGCAAATGTCCTCTCAATCGCTGGTGAGATTAGAATACTGGGACTATCTTGTGTTATACTGTACTTGTATACTGGCGGTGGTCCAGCGGTCGCCTCACAGCAATAAGGTCGTGGGTTCAAACCCCGGTTGCCCCGGCCTTTCTGTGTGGAGTTTGCATGTTCTCCTCGTGTCTGCGTGGGTTCTCTCCGGGTGCTCCGGCTTCCCCCCCACCATCCAAAGACATGCAGGCTAGGTTAATTGGTGTCTCCAAAACTGTCCTTAGGTGTGAATGTGTGTGAGTTGTTGTTCGTCTATGTGTGGCCCTGCGATGGACTGGCAACCTGTCCAGGGTGTACCCCGCCTTTCGCCCGATGTCAGCTGGTATTGGCTCCAGCCCCCCGTGACCCTGTATGCAGGATAAGCGGTTGACGATGGATGGATAGATGGATTGCTTTTTTAAGTTATCTATGTAAGTTGTATCAGTCCCTACCCGAAATTAACCATAAATAAATACTGTGCTTAATTTTTAAATCAGTCCCACCTCCGGTTCATTCAGCACAGTGCTTAATCAGTAAAAAAGCAGTGTGATTAGCATTACCCTTATCAATTGAAGAGAAACATCCTCTTCACTAGCCTTTATTGATGCCAGAGGGATTAAAGTGGTGTGGCACAAGAAACTCGCAAAACATGTGCACCTGCTCTGTTCTTTCCTGACTGGTTTAGCCCTTCAGTGTGAGACCAGCGCTAAGTAAACACGGTGAACCCTAATGTGCGATTCCAATATCAAAGAAGCAGTCAAGGGGTATAATATACCTCAGATGTAGCCTCATAACGCACATTCATACCCGCACACACTCTCTAAAGGTCTTGACATTAATAGAGGTGTTTGCATGAGAGTAGGTAATCATTAGAATTGCATGTATTAAAGGATTACCCGCTCAAATTAAACACCTCTGCAGTTGGTAGATAACGGTGCTTGTTTATTGTGTAATCTGATTATATTATCTGTTTCGTTGACATGTCTATCCAATCCAGTGATCCATGCTTGTGTACATTTTCCTGTTCAGCGGTCCAAGTGGGAGGATTACCTCTGTAAACTCTGGCAGGTTTAGTGTCATGCTCCTCTCAGTTAATTTCACAAGACAACAAGCCTCTGTAATGTGTTTATTTATTCTTGTTATTTATGCATCAACTGAACTGTATTTATATTAGTTGGACTCCAACCAAGATATCTTCCCACTAGTTCTACTAACAGCACAATGCCATTTAATCACCTCTTGAAATGTTCACTGTGCACACTTGTGCACTGAATTTATGAATGCAGTGCTCCAAAACAGCCAGTAGATGTCGCCATTGTCATTGTCCCTGGCTTGCTCTCCTCTCCGTGCTCCAATATAAAGCTGTGTATTATATCAAACTGAGTCACCCGGGCGAAGATGACACTTTTAAATTTCAGCAGCTGTCAGCTTACAGCCCTTGCAAGCCTTCTGTTTACCATCTGTCACAGTCACTGGATGTTCCCTTTCTTAAGAGTGAGACATTCATTTACTTTCTGAATTTCAGGTAGAAACCTAATGCTGTAGCATGTCGAAGGTGCTGTGCGCTCACTAAATGGAGTATTGTTTGTGCGTGGTGCTGTCTTTCCAAAGCATGATGACAACTCTTGATGATGAAGGCTACATGTAAAAATCTCACTCTATGGTGCTCAGGCTTTATTTTATAGGCAATGAATATAATATAATATACGCTGAAATTATTTATTCAATGATATTTATTCTTATTGAGAAATACTAGTGTATGTACAACAGTAAAAAAAATAAAAGTGCTTACCTACACCGACCCTCTTTGTGATGTGGTTAGTTTGACTGATTCCACTTGTTTGATTTAACTGCTTTCTAAATTGCATTTAATCACATTACTTTGGCTCCCTTCGCCTCTCTGCACTTTAATCTAACTGCTCCCACCCACTCCTATTAAAACTGTTGTTGTGATGCTGTTTATTTATGGAAGCAAGTGCTGTTTGAGAACATCTCACTCCAAAGTGAGGGTAAGATTCAAGTGTGCTCTTTCATTGGAATCCATTACATAATTTCAGCATAATTGAGCAGTGTCTCCTGGCATTTTGAACTGCGACTAGATGACAGAAAAAAGAGATTTATATTTGAATGTGTGCATTCGACAAGTAGGTGGTTGTATGTGTAGTGTTTGAGAGAGAATTATATAAACAGTAGAAATCCAAATTTGAACAACCACAAGAGGAAACAGCATAGTTCTTCTCTTGCTGTTCTTCTCTTGCTGCCCTCTAAATTGTCCCTCCAAATCCTTTGGCCTTTTCAAGTAAAGCAAACAACTGCTAAAAATAGCTTTCCTGTTAAAGTGGTCGAAAGATTTCCAGATAAAGGCATCAAAAGGGCAAGTCCATCCTACGTAAGTTACACTTCATAAATACAGAAAGATTCGTCTTATGAGGCAGACAAGACCAAGATGGGAGGATGTTCAAAGACAGCGCTAGTTAAATTTAAATTCAAAAGATACACTAGTGTGTTTCGGGGGCTGGCTAATAATGTCATGGATTTGTGTATTAATCAGAGCTTAGGGCTACCGTGAAAGCCCTGTGAAGGAGATCCATGCTCTCAAAGACAGTGGACACAGTGAGTCACGGTGGGGGGGGCACGTGCTTCCATCTCTCAACCCAGTGGCAAAGTGGGTCTCACTTTCAGGAACAGTTGGACATTGTGGGAAATCTAGTCACTCACTTCATGCTATGGTGGATGACACTCGTCATACATAACACGTATGGTCCGCCATTTGTCCAAATTTCACATCTCTTCTTACTTCTAATGAACCCGAAGAATACTACTACTAGTCCTACCACTAATACTACATCATCTTCTTCTTCTTTGTACGTATTCAACGTAGTGATGAAACTCGCTCTGTAGAGCCATTTGTACATTTGGGCTACTGTCGAAACTGGTGGAGCAACACGTCGACTTGCATGTAAAGGGACCTGCGGTGTGTGTAAATAAAGGCTCATTCTAAGGTAATAAAACTATAAGGTTCATTATGTAAGGTCTTTATACACCACTAAAAATATTGTTATGAATATTATATTGCATTTCTGTAGATAGATCATCCTAAATAATACACACTGAACCTGAAAGTGAAAACTGACCCAAATCTTAGTATCCAAAGTACCTTTAGGGCTATACAAAACTTGGAAAAGGAGTGCTCAAGATATGATATTTGAGGTTTTAATTTTGACATTTAAGGAGGACATTGGCCTAGGCTCCGCCATTTCTTTCAAATGGAGGAATGGTTTTGTCGTAAGAGGTAGGTAGGCTTATTGTCACAATATAACAAGTTATAGAGTCTTTTAGTATCCTTTGGGCTCTGTGTAGGCACCTCACCAATATCACTGGGTACCAATGATCTTCTGGGCAGTTTTAATCACCTGCTGCAGAGCCCTCCGCTCCTGGGCCATTTACATCCCATGCCAATGTGTGATGTTTCCAGTCAGGATGCTTTCTATTGCTACTCTGTAAAAGCTGACAAGAACTTGGCACGGGAATTTGGCCTTCTTAAGCTTCCTCAAGAAATATAGTCGTTTCTGAGCTTTCTTCACCAGCGTGGAGATGTGAGACGACCGTGTCAGGTTCTCTGTGATGCTGATTCCCAGGAACCTGAAACTGTTCACCTGCTCCACCTCAGCACCACTGATGTAGACAGGAGTGTGTGTCTTTATCTCCTTCTTCCTAAAATCAATGATCAGCTCCTTGGTTTTGCTGACGTTGAGCAGTAGGTTGTTATCTGAGCAAAATTATCAATTTCCTCCCGATATGAAGCCCAGCCGATGATGGTGGTGTCATCCGTAAAACTCTTCTCTTCATGTCGGGGGATGCAGCTGTGGGTGTACAGCATGAACAGGAGGAGGCTGCGCACACAGCCCTGGGGGTCTGACTGGGGTCTGTTTGTGAGAAATTCTCCAGTTGCAGAGTGTTGTATTTAAACCCAGAGTGCTGAGTTTGCTGATCAGTTTTATGGGGAGATTGTGTTGAATACTGAGCTGAAATCCAGAAACAGCTTTCTGATGTAGGTGATGTTTTTCTCAAGGTGCCTATAATTTGGATAATTATCAATACTGACCGTGTATATACATAATACTGATCATATTGATTTTCTATTTTTTTTACTGTGCGTATTTAAAATCATATTTGATTGAGGAGCTGTATTGAGGAGCATATATTTGTGCAGCACCTCCTTGCTCGCTCTCTCTCTCTCTCTCTCTCTCTCTCTCTCTCTCGTGAACACCGGGGCAAAAACCTGTCCAAAATTAGAATAACCCTCAGGAACCCTCTCCTTAGACAGTGAGATATTGAAAATGTCAGTAATAACATCTTGGCGTACCTGTTCAAAGAGCTGCACCTGTTTATCTCTCTGCTCTGAACCTTTCTGGTACAAAGTGGTGCCTTTGGTCTTTTCTACGTGAAAGTCTGCTCGGAGAAGTGCTGGGGGACAGGAAGTGACAAAGAGAAAGGATGTGTTTCAGCCTGCTGCGTTGGTTTGTGTCTTCCTCCTCGAATGAAGAGTGCAGGTTCCCATTGGCAACCAGAGGTGGAGTGCAAAAAGGGAGAAGTTAATAGCCTTACCTTTAATTGCACTTCCTGTTAGTTTCTATGAAGACATGAGAAGATGTTGCCAAGCATTTGAGAGAGAATAAGACAAAGAAACTGAGCCTTAACATGATTTCATGGGCCGAAAAATAGAAAACAAAAACTGCAGACAGAAAACAATTTCAGATGCTATTGTATCACCGCCTCTTGAGCATTTGCCATGGACAAAAATATTTTGTATAATAAAAGCTGTCTAAGAGCTGTAGTCTTCCCCATTGCAACAAAACAGGCTGATGATGCTATTGTGGAGCAGACAACGAGGGAGCCTCATCATCATCACCATTGTCACAGGCTCGTCTGTACTTCCGATATAGGCAGATAGCATGGGGAAATTGAGTCGTTATTACTGTTTGACCTTTTGTCTAGGGAAGGGGGAAACAGGAACAGATGCAGACTTTGGCATTATATTTATTAAACAGGGCTGAGAACACAACACACAGTAGCAAACCATCAGATTTTTATTAAAAACTGGACATGGTTCAATCAGCGTTGTCCATCTCAGTATATGAAGCATAACACGTATCTTATATCTTCACTATGGACAAGTCTGAAGGTTTAAAGGAAAATCCACCATG